CGTTGGCCGGCGCTGGGGATTTATTCTGTCTGTGCTCGCCTAGCAAAGTGGTGTGCCCACGGCAGGTGATTCAGCGCAGATTGCAGGGAAGGCCCGACTACTAAATACTATGCCACGTACCCGCGCCCGCGGGCAAAGTCTTGAAGCACTTTGCCCATCGCTGGAAGTTGCCCGCGTGGCCCTGCATGGCATCTTATGTCACACCAACCTTACCAACAAGTCGCGGTGTGTCCAGTTTTGATTCACCAGCCGCGCTTGCATGCCGATGGCCGGGCATGGGGTCGCTTTGGGGGACCGCGGAAGACGGAACCGACGAGGACTTGGGGCCAACCACCAGAGCGGACACCTGGTGATGACAGCCAGCCACATGGGCTAACGTGCTGGCTGGGTCCGAGCTCGGCACCCGAGTGTCCACCTCAGCAATATGGGAGGCCAAATATCGAGCAGTAGTACAGTAATTAGAGTGTCAGTCGAACCTCCTCGGGGTTGCCTTACCTAAGGAGTAAACCCCTGCCCCATCGGGGTTGCTCCCCACACCATTGGCCAGGTGTGAGGCGTTCGGTTTGCCTGTGTCACAGCCTTGAGGCCAACCTATCCCAGGGGCAGGGGATAGATGACAGCCGGGCACATGGGCTAATGCGCCGGCTGGGGCCTGACCTGGTGACATCGAAGCAGTCATGCAAGTCACCGGAAGCAATACCGGACAAAGAAGGGAGGCCGTTCTTGGGACATGGCTGTGTTGTTGAGCTGGTGTGTTCCTCCGTCTCATTCATGCCTGTTATCACAGAGAACCTTGCTGTTGGGTTGTCTTTGTCGAAGGCAGAGTGCCAACATGTTCAGAATGGGGTTTGGTGTATGTTGCTCTACCAAGCGGCAGCTGCATGCCCGCCAGTTTTGGCAGCTACACTGAGCACATCTGGCGGTTTCAGCTGGGGGAAACAAGCACAAGTCTAGAAAAGTGTTTGAAGTTCTCCGCAGATACAACGAAGAATTTCGAATAATAAACCTCGGTGTTCCATTTTGGCAGGTCCTCGAGCCGTGCCAGGAAGCTTAAACCATGAGCCCTAAACTTCCCTAAACCGTGTTTAAGCTTCAAATTGAAACCCACAATCTTCCAAATAATTTGAGTGTCCACCTCAGCAACATGGGAGGCCAAATATCGAGCAGTAGTACAGTAATTAGAGTGTCAGTCGAACCTCCTCGGGGTTGCCTTACCTAAGGAGTAAACCCCTGCCCCATCGGGGTTGCTCCCCACACCATTGGCCAGGTGTGAGGCGTTCGGTTTGCCTGTGTCACAGCCTTGAGGCCAACCTATCCCAGGGGCAGGGGATAGATGACAGCCGGGCACATGGGCTAATGCGCCGGCTGGGGCCTGACCTGGTGACATCGAAGCAGTCATGCAAGTCACCGGAAGCAATACCGGACAAAGAAGGGAGGCCGTTCTTGGGACATGGCTGTGTTGTTGAGCTGGTGTGTTCCTCCGTCTCATTCATGCCTGTTATCACAGAGAACCTTGCTGTTGGGTTGTCTTTGTCGAAGGCAGAGTGCCAACATGTTCAGAATGGGGTTTGGTGTATGTTGCTCTACCAAGCGGCAGCTGCATGCCCGCCAGTTTTGGCAGCTACACTGAGCACATCTGGCGGTTTCAGCTGGGGGAAACAAGCACAAGTCTAGAAAAGTGTTTGAAGTTCTCCGCAGATACAACGAAGAATTTCGAATAATAAACCTCGGTGTTCCATTTTGGCAGGTCCTCGAGCCGTGCCAGGAAGCTTAAACCATGAGCCCTAAACTTCCCTAAACCGTGTTTAAGCTTCAAATTGAAACCCACAATCTTCCAAATAATTTGTTTTTCTTCAATAATCTTCTAAATAATTCATTTTTCTTCAACAATCTTCCAAATAATTCGTTTTTCTTCAACAATCTTCCAAATAATTCAACAATCTTCTTAAATCTTCGCTGGTGGCTGAGAAGTACCCCTGCTGAGAAATACCCCTAGGCTCATGAATGATATAATATAGAAATCCCCAAGTCTGGCTGAACCAGGCACATCACTTCTTCAATGACCCCTGCAGGAACTGATTTTGGAGAAGCGCTTCTCCTACGACCAGCATGTGCCGAAGATTTCGGGTTCATCGTATCTTGAGGAACAGATTCGACGTGTAAATCCACGAGTCCACGTGTTTGGGCACACTCATGTTGCCTGGGATACGATACTGGAGGGCGTGCGGTATGTGCACTGGCCGCTGGGAAATCCGAAAGAACAGGGCGGGCAGACGAAGATGCAAAACTTGAGCGGTTTTCTGTTGTTGCTAGATTCTGTTTGGTCGCCTGTGCAATTCACGCATTGGGCATACTTCTATGATTATATGGAGCCGCGGCAGCCGGACTCTACTGCACTGGCACCCTGGGTCAGTTTTGGATATGCGCAAATCTATCCAGAAATGAAGGCGGAACTGGACAAGCGCGGTCTTCTCCCCAAGATGGAGGGCCCAGACGGCTTTTCTGCTTACTTTCCAGGCGGTGCGCTCAACAACAACGGCGAGTTCTGGCAGCGCCATGCTTCGGCCAACTGGCGCTGGCGCCTGCCGCCCGAAACACTGTCACAGCAGCGTTTCCCCTGCGAGAACGCGACATGCATCCTTTGTGCGTTTACGCGAAAGCAGGAGGGAGCCGAAGAATGAGAAAAATGCATATCGCATGGGCTTATACTAGTAGCCATTCATAGCCGTACCGATGTTCGATTCGCCGACCATGCATGGTTCTCTGCAACAGAGCTCAAGAATGCTTGTGGTTTTCGATGCGATGCAGGCAAAGCCGCGAACAGCGACTACGAGTGCTGCTACTGAGATGCCTAGTTTGCCAAGCTCTGCCCAAGCTGCTCGGCACAACAGGGTTGAAGGGCCTTGATGTTCCTCAGCTCGGACCAATTTGTCGGGAACAACGCAGCGGGTCGCACAAGCAACTCCGACTATCGAGCCCAGCAGCAACCGCAGAAGCAAGCAGCAAGGAAATGCTGTACCGACAGTGGATCACGCTGGGCCACATTTATGATAGGTGAGTTGCTGCAGCCCTTCCGGCCCAGTGCGATGCTGCAACAGTCTGTGATATCCGGAAGCACGTGCTCGGCGCGTTCCCTACTCTTCCGAGGTCACTTCTGAGGCCTTTCTGTCTCAAGACAGGCTGGCCAAGCAGGAGCAAAGGCCAGGGGACATGCTGACATGCTCAGATGCTCTTCACTGGGCCAACGAGGGTGATCCAAGCCTGGCAGGTTGACTGGGCCTGGCGAAGACGACTTCAGGAGTCTGATATTGTTTCAGCGAGTTACTGGTTCAGTGCGATCGCAGTGGCATCAAAACTTCACTCCTGCCTGGATCAAGCCACCACGCTGGCTACGCTATGGCTGACCAGGGGAGCATTGCCATACAGTCGGATGAGAGCATCTGCAGGCAAGAGTTACCCACGGCATCTCCCCACCGATTGTTGTCTAAACCATGCAGAACGCAGGGGAGCCATATGCTGACACCTACAGCAAATAGACTCCCATAGTGACATTTGATCCCAGAACTGTTGCCCATCTTCAAAAACTCAAGCAACAGGCTCGTCACAAGCTAGATCCATTTTAGTTCCGGATGATGGCACATTCAGCCTCTCCAGGTAATATGCGAGGTATCATCATCAAAGTTGATGTAGTGCTCTCATTATTATGGCTTTTGACGATCAATCTACCTGCCTACCCGGTTCTATGGGAGCTTACTGCGCTCGCTAGAAACGGTAGAGAGCCGTGGGCAAGATGATAGGGAAACCTTAGCCATGGGTGCAGCAGCCAGTGAAATCGGAGAAGCTCAGACGGACGGTGCCTCTGCGGCTGAGGCGTCTAACTGTCTACGGACAACTTGCATTGTCAGCTGCATGGTGAGTACACAGCTTCACAAGCTTTGGTCAAGGTCGAGGAGGCTTACAAAAGTGCTTCTTCCGTTTTAGCTGCTGGCTCAGCACTCCAACTTGGCCAGTTCTGCATGAGCTCCCTCAGAGTGCTGGCCCAGGCCCAATTGACGCAGGCCGGCACCTGGGAGGACCATGTGCCGGAATGCTTCATTGGATTTGGCTGGCCCGTCTTCGTCATCCCCCCTTCAAATGAAACAGCAGTACAACAATGCGAGCACGGTCTGTTGGGCATGATGTAGCTGCAGGCACGCATGCGCAAAGCATCTCAACACTCTGCCAGGGGTTCAGGCTGTGCCCGCTGGCAGGACCCAAACTTCCCACCGAGCAATGGCGCACTTTGCCACGACTGGCAGGTGCGTCAGTCCTTCTACGGCAGGGCATTTCTCCTGCTCCTGCCAGTCCAAGTGACCCTGA